AAAGAAAGAAAGAAAGAAAGAAAGAAAGAAAGAAAGAAAGAAAGAAAGAAAGAAAGAAAGAAAGAACTAGGCTGGTGTTTTTATAATTTCAATTAAGTATTATACAGACTGGGAAATTACCTGGGTCCCATAACACCAGTACATACTTACACAGTATGGTTACTGAGTGAACCAGGAACCATACATTTAAAATGTGTACTACATACATAGTGAGGAATATGCTTGCACACATTGATAGAGCAGAACTTCCTATAAGGATCCATCACTGATTCCCAGTTACTTAGCCCCACTGACAGCATGGCTGGCATGCTGTGCAGTGGAGGGATGAAATAATCACTCTGTTGAGCTGGGCTGGCAGATCATGGGAGATATTATTCAAATGTCTCAGAGAATTAGAAACCACATTTTGATTCCCCAACCTTCCTCTCATGGCACTCCCTCTTTTGTTCACTTGTATTTTCTCTCCTTTACAGTCCAAGGTTTTCTGTTGCAAATTGGGCTGGGAGAAAAATGCATTTATTACAGCAACAACTAAAAGTTCTTTGTAGAACTACATGCTGTGAAACAAGATATTTTCTACTATCCCTAGAGATGAATCCTTACCCAGTACATTTCTCAAAAATTCCAAGAATGGTGTTAATCAGAGGATAATTGCATTTTGACAGATGACCTTTTGGGTTACCCTGAGCATATTTGGAATTTAAAGAGCATGTTGCAAGTGCTCTCACAAAATGGCTTTCTTCCATGAAGTGGGGGGTCCAGAACACAAATGGCTACCCCATAGTGCATGGTCAGTCCCCAAACATCTATTCATCAGAAGCCAAATTATTGAGGTTAAATACTGTCATATGTCTTAGATTCATAGAGTGCTGTCTACCATCCTGGATTATTGGGGGTCGGGGACACACTTCCAAATAAAGCCCTGATCTGCAGATACCATCATTTTTATTTTCTAAGAAGGTTGATTGGGTTTATGTGGGGTCCAGAATTATTCTTCCTGATGATGCTAGGCATCTTACTGTGCAGTATGTTAGTGTACGATTGCTATTTCTATATCAAAATGATCTTTAATAAAATACAGTCAAGGGAGGAAAGCTGTTGTCCAGGATCACAGTAGTGCCTATAGGCCACAAGTAGCCTCATTAAGCTATGCAAGCTTCAGAAATGATTCAGCTCTCATAGGAGCATAGCACCTCTCTGTGATTCATTCAATCAGCCTGACTTAAAAGCCTGATCAAAGTTGTGGCTGCTTGAATGAATCAACTCATAAGAGTTAAGGTGGTTCTTAAAGCCATCACACCTTTTTATAAGTCCACGCAGAAGCTTGAAAAAAGACAAAATGGTTTTAATGTATAGCAGAGCGTGCTGCATTTGCACAAGGTCTGAAGCACTTCTTTGCAATTGTTTTTGACACATGCACAGCCCTATTGTCTACTCCCTGGGTGTAGGTTCATTTAATGCAATATTTACATTCAAATGGTGAATACATTTGTCTTTACTCCCTAGCCAGCCACTCAGCCAGTTACAGTATCCCTTCAGGCAAGGCTGGACTGGGACCTGCATTCAGAATCATTCAGACCTCAAGTGAGAACTATATCCCTCGAGCAACAAGCCAGACAACCAGCAGATCTCTTAAGTTATTTTGACACAAATGTCAGCCAGAGATTCCAGCAGGATGCAAGCAGAACCAGCTTCAGCTGTTACAGCAATGTTGGAAGAAAACTACAACTTCTTCGTTGGTGTAGCATAAACACATATCTCATCTCTTACATCCTGTGCCGTACAAAGAGCTTCCGTCCACCAGGACAGGAAAAGGAACGCTGCTCATGTTTTCATACGCGGAAACAAAAGTAATGCTCTTTTCAAGTACTGTAGTTAGAACAATTGTGCACTGCATATGATTGGAGAACATGCAGGGCACCTAGTTGACCTCAAGATCAATTATATTGAGCATCTTTGGTTCAAGAGGGACTCTAGCATGGAGCATGGTCTCTCTGAGCCACTACCAATCATTTGGAAACAGGGCCATAAAAAAGCAAATGGATTCAACCTGAGGTCCTAAGGCTCCATGAAAACTCCCAAATCTTTTTTTCCCCTAGTCTCAAGAGGCCTTTCCAATGGTGGCACCAGATCTTGTCAGCCTGTTTGCAAAAAAAAAAAAAAAAGTCATTGAGCTTCTCATCATTTTAAGGGGGGAACTAAATCTGCAGCATAAGTCCTAAAATGGGACTAGCACAATTTTAAAAAGCCAAGAATGTTCTTCAACCTGAGGTCCTACGGCTCCATGAAAACTCCCAAATCTTTTTTTCCCCTAGTCTCAAGAGGGCTTTCCAATGGTGGCACCAGATCTTGTCAGCCTGTTTGCAAAAAAAAAAAAAAAAGTCATTGAGCTTCTCATCATTTTAAGGGGGGAACTAAATCTGCAGCATAAGTCCTAAAATGGGACTAGCACAATTTTAAAAAGCCAAGAATGTTCCACACACACCCCAAAAAAGTTAAAAATCAAGGCCCTGTCCATGTACTGCTTTTCATAACCTTCCCCACCTAATGTCACTCACCTGCACACACACTGTTAATCATGGTCCTCTTGCAGTAAAGGTAACTACAGAGGTGAAACATTGCACTCAGACTATGAAACCCTGGATCATTTTCACTCCAATGTCACTAATTCTTTTTTTTTTTATGCCTCTCCCCACTGCACATTATTGTCTGAGCTATAATATATTTTTGGTTGGAGGGGAATCATGCACTTATAGAGCCTAGAAAGAGGAAAGACTGCAAAGGTTGTGAGAAACCTTTACAGCAGTAACACTGCCCTGGTCTGATACAAGCTGTTTAATGGCTGGCTTCCAAGAGCTGGAGGGGAAATTGGTGAGTTAGTCAGGGAGCAGTTGATATACGATCATAAGTTGGAGAGAAGGAAGTTAAGGGTTGTGGATTATAAGAGAAATTGCTGCCATGAAATTGAAGATCAGTTTTGTTTTTTTGTTTTCACTTTCATAGTCAACGTTCCGTGAATTCAGATCCTACTGAGCTGCAGAGAGAAAAGTATTTGCCAAAATGCTGACATTTCGTAGGCTTATATCCAGGGACAATCTCCCAGATGAGAGATGAGGACCACCACCACTCCCTCTAAACACATTCTCCAGTTCTCCCCTTACTATATGTCTGCTGGGCCATTCTCCCACTGCCCCACAAACCTCCCTCTAGATGGGACTTCAGAGCCAGGGCTGGGGCATGATAGCCATGTGGTGGGGTGTGATGGCTCTCTATTTAGGCAGACAGCACAGTCATTTCACAATCCATTACTCTGAGGAATCTTCAGAGTAATACAGATGGAAAAATGTGGCTTACCACTTAAACGGTGTACCTTAAAGTCAATGAAATAGCTGCTCTGGGCAATGGATCAAGACAGAGCATGAAGGAACCTGGCCCTCATTTCTACATTCATCTACCACCCAAGTGTGGTGAATGAATGTAGAAATTCATTGCCCTAATGACATGTGGAAGATACATTGAAAGATAGAATTTTCCAGGGTAGAAGTGCTAAATATATAAATAAGCAACTGTCATCTAGCACTAAACATGAGGATTCCCATTAAGTCCTGGAAAGGGTAGAGGATAGAAG